TCCTTTAAAATAATTTTTTTTTTTTGTCAAATACTTTACACAAACTAGAGATAATTGAGAGGCAAGCTATGGCCATTTTCCATCCACAATATATTATTAGGTTTTATCAAAGGGTGATTGCATTGACAATTCAATTTTCTATCCATCAAAAAGAAAAAGAAAAAAAAAAGAAAAAAAAGTTGATTTATCCTAGATTGGCTTATAGAGGTTGATACTCTATTTGGATTTAAGAGCCATTACTAATTCGGGTGGGTATGTGGTTTGTCTTTATCGTGTTGATAAAAGTTATGGAGTAGTGACACTAGTACACTTGAAAGTGTATTGAATTGGACCAAGTAAAATATTTATTAATTTATAGTTGATTGCCCTAAAAAGAATTATTCACACGTGACAGTCATAACTTATGAATTAAGTTCATTACAAAATAGTGTTTGCTATTCATGAACTTGAAGTTCTTTGATATGCCAAAGAGTAAGATCATTCAGCTACGATCATCATGTCAGTATATTGGGAGCTGACAAGTAGTGAACACATATTCACATTCGAAATTTGTCATCTTGCTGGATAAGTAAATAAGTTCACTTTGATATTTTTTTTGGAGAACAGTTTAAATTTGAGCTTAGCATTTGGGATAAGCTCAACTATCTTGCTGGATAGGTAAATAAGTTCACTTTGATATTTTTTTTGGAGAACAGTTTAAATTTGAGCTTAGCATTTGGGATAAGCTCAACTAATTAGCTCTCATTTGACTCTCTTTAAAACTCTTCAATTTAATTTAAATTTTTTTCTTTCTTATTTTCAATTATACAATTTTCAATAAAATAATATTTCACTCAAATCGAAAAATTTTCGTTCTTTTACAACCATCTATTTTTTTTAAAAAAAACACTATTCCCCCATTATACATTTCACTTGATGGATTTTCAATTTTCTTCCTGTAATTTTATTATTTGAATGATTGATTACCAATTAGATAATAAGTTTCTTAATTTATTTTCTAAGATTCAAAATAATTCTAGAACATCATAATATTAACATAAGGCTCAATAGTTGTTATGAATAATAGTTTATGACTTTTGCAATCACATAGGTAATTATATAGTTTAATTCATTATTTCGCATATGAATTTGGGATAGAAAGATTACCATGTTGTGTTTAAGAATAGGTGTGGCTTACTTCAGGGGCGATAGTTGAATAAAATTGGATTATCGGTTACCAATGATACACAAATTAGACTAGATAACATAGACATAAATTCTCTTGGCAACCACTGGAAAAAATAATAATAATAATTTCGAAACCTAATAAACGATCTACAAAGAATTTTCAGAAGAAATAGGGTAGGAAGATTCCCCTTTGCAAATGCATGTTTCAATTTCTTGAAAAACTAATTGTACCAACCGACTTAACCGCGTTGTAATATATAGACAAGAAAATGAGTTTACTTCCCCTCAGAGTAGAAACTTTATTGAAGGGTGAGAAATGAGTAAAATATTTGAATTACTTGGACATCTAAATTATATATATTTTTTAAAATTTTAAAACCAATATTTCTTTATCATTAACTTTTTAACTGATATAATTTAATTAGCCCCATTTGACCCTCATTTTTGAAGAAATTAATATTTTGAAATAGTAATTTTTTAGAAAATATTTATTAGGAAACAAGAAAAAAATTTAATTTACGTGTAAATTTATTTTACGAGAAAGTGTAGGGTTGAAATTTGAAAAGCAAAAACGAGATTTTAAAAAAAAATTAAAAAAAAATTGAACCAAAACATGGGCTAAATCATCACTCCCTGATATTGACTATAGCAGGAAGAAGATAATGGGGCCGTTTGAGCCTCATTATTTATAGATTATAATGAGATGAATAGTATTTTTTGAAAAATGAATGGTTGAAAAGTTTTTGATTTACGTGTAATATTATTTTATTGAAAATTGTGTGGTTAAAAGTAAAATTTTAATTTAATGTAATGAGAATTAATGGGGCTCAGACGAGGGCAATAAATGCATCAAAACGCGTGTTACCTCATTTACTATTGAGTTGCGTGCAGGACCACCGTCCATTACACAGTAAATTTTGAATATTAACCAAAAACGCTACGCGCATTTGAAGATTAGATGATTGTTAATATTCAAAGGTGGGTTACTTGGATGGTTCTGGAAGAGCCCAAATAAACTCCAAAAATCTGAGTCTTTGGTAGTTATAACATTTCTCACTGCTTATCCTTAAAGGTATGAAACCTTTGTTTCATATGAATTTTAGCGGTTCCATAAATGCAGTTTTGTAATTTTAGAGGTCAAGTTTCGTTATCGAGTAATATTATTTAGAATAATACTATTTAGTATCATGTGCACTAATCCTTCGTTCGGTAGCAAATTTTCACTCAAAAAAATCAATTTTTTGACCGTTATTCAATTATTTCAGCCGTCATTTTCGATTTCTTCAATCACAAGTGGAACTCACTTTTTCTGTAACGTTCAAAAAATCAATTCTCATAATAACTATCGAACAGATCGAAGTATTTGTATAGGAGTTGAGATCTGTCGTTGATTTATACGGTCCAATTTCATGTCTACTCAACTACAAATTGACAAATCATGAAAATTTTAAATTGATGTTAAGGTTGTGAATTAAAATTGATGATAATTAGATAGCAAAAATGGACTGCAGATATTAATCCCTTGTCTAGATGACATGCAATTGTCGTTAATTAATAAAACACCTGAATATTATTTGAGATGACGTAAACTTTCAGCTACCACAATTAGGTTATAATTCAAATGATGCTACATATCATTAATGAATTGGCTTTTCTTATTCTTACTAGCACTGTGTTTTTAAATTTTCAAGTGCAAAAATGAACTCAAGTGGTAAAATTTTCATTCTTGTTATTGTTTTAGTTGTGATTTGAATCATGCTGAAGGGCAAAAAATAAAAAATAAAAAATAAAAAATAAAAATTGAATACATGGCATCGAGAAAAATCAATTTAGAGTAAAAGTTCTGTTAAATTGTTCGATTAGAAAATAGCAAAATAAAATAGACAAGCATAGGTAGATTTACCAAGTCATTCTATTGACCTCACCCTTTGTGGTTAGGGTCGTAACAATAATCATCCTATAGTACACTTTATCAAAACATCCTCTCTTAATGTAGCTATTGATAATCATTTCAAACTTTACTAGCTTTTATTTCTCGTATACTTCCTTTGAATGTTAAACGCGTTAGGTGTCCAAATGTTCCTTAATTACGAAGCAACCCATAATTTTGCATTAAAAAGAAAAGAAAATGAAAGGAGTCGTCATGATCTTGTTCTCCTTATAACAACCTAATTAGTTTTCGATTAACTAATATAGGTTTCTCGACCTTTGCATGAGCAGGATTTAAATTACCGTGTGAAGAAATGTTGTGATAACGTAAAATCAATCAATGCTCACTAAAGTTCCAGTGAATTACTAGTTATCCACCGAACTTTAAAGGATTTTTCAATGTTCATCCATCTCATTAATGAGTGATGAACTTGTTACGGGGGCTTTAAGATATTATGATTATTTCTTTTAATCCTTATGTTACTCTAAAATTCTTTGTCGACCTGGATCTTGAAGTTATATGGATCACAAACTATGTTGTAATATGGAATACGGATTGGGACTACTAAATTCTAAGACTATCTAACTCTCATTGAGAAAAGGAATCTCGAAATATAAATAAGTAATGAGCTCATTCTTACGAAGGCTATATGAAATTTTGATCATTTTCTTTTTAATCCTTATTTTACTTCCAAAATTCCATCTTGTGCTTTACACCGTCGTCAAATTTTCTTTCTTGATTTTCTCAAATATTTCTAAATTTGAAATTATTAGTAACGTTAATAAGAATGGTATTGAGTTCCACGAAATGTGTGACCAATAAATGGAGATGTGGAGATATGTGATTAAAATTAATATTTGAATTAACTTAATATAAAAAATAATATTTTAATAGTTTGTAATGTTAGACCAACGTAGGCATAGTTTTAAGATTATTTCCAAAAAGCCAAAAAGATTAGAAAAGGGATTAGTAGTCGACATAAGATACTTATCCCAGAAAAATCCAAAATTTCTGTTGAAAGAAAGGGCGATTTTGATTTGTACCCACTTTTAGCGTGGCGTTCTGAAAAGTCAGGCCAGTTCTTTAAAATTGGGAAAATCAGGGGAATTAAACCAAAATTGAGAGGATGTTGCACTGCACTGACTTCAAAATATTCGACCACACATACCCGCTCCAAGTGTAACATTAATATGAAAAATTGTATTAGGGATATTGTTAGTGGGACCTACAATCTAACTTAATCCCATGTTTGTCTATCATTATTTAATAAAATGAGTTTTAGAATAATAACTTTTTGGAGAATATATAGTGTTAAAAAAAAATAATATTTGAGTTTACATGTAAAATATTTTATTTTGAGAATATGTGGTTCAAAATGAGTTTGGATAAAAAAAAAAAAAAAAAGAGTTTTGAAGTAATGATCAATAAACAGAGACTACATATTTTTTAGGGTGTTTGATAGCAAGAATAATTTTGTAGGTTATTAAACTAATTGTATGTAAATTGAGGATTTTGACATCGGATTTTCGCGTGATATCAAATTTGTTGATTTCAACCAATATTTCCAAAAATAAGAGTTTTCGTGGATATGGAATATTAGCACGAAATTAAAGTAATTGTGCTATACGTACATAATAATTTATATAATTGTTTATATACACATGATGTGGAGAGAAATAATAAAGTTAGAATTTCTTTAACCAAATAAATAAATAAAAATATTTATGAGAGAATATTTATTCAAAACTTCAAAGAGAGAACCATTTACCTGATTTATTTAATATTGAACATTTACTAATAAAATAATAAAAAACCTGACAAGTAAGAAAAATAGAAAATTATTAATTCTTTTTCAGTTTTAAAAGTCAGTCCTGAACGTATTTTCATATCTTTTAACTCACACGTGGGCCAACCGATATAGACCACAACACCAAAGTGCTGTTGATAATGTCCCTTACTCTTCAGTCACAAGACCAATTCAACGGCCGAGATTTCTTGTAAGATCACATCGCACCTTCCAATTCTTCCCTATATATCATGACCCTCGACGCCAACCCCAAACAAGCTTCAAATCAAACACAGCTCCAATATCTCACTACTCAACCGTAGGATTTAATCAAAAGTATGCGGATTTTATCCATGAAAGTGATTCTAATTTCATTTGGAGTTGTTTCCTTCGCCATGGGAATCAAATTCTGCACTCCGTTATTTAATCAAGTACCTGTGATTTGGTCTATAATCCTGCCATGGACGAGGCCTCCATATTTATATCTTATTGTTAATGGCATCATCATCACCATTGCAGCCTCCTCACGCTTTCACAAGGTTACATCCTCACCGTCCATATCATATGAGCGGTTAGATTCAGTCAAAACACCTCCGCCGTCGGATTTTGCTTCCTTTCCGGTTCAGCCGGAGATTAGCGCTGCTGATGAACGCTCACTTCTGGAGGATGAGAGTGAGAATAGTGTTGTGGAGGTGAAGGCGATGCTGATAAATGGTGCAAAAGTTGATATCGATCCAACTGGAGAAGAAATTGATGCTGATGCTGAAATTGGCGGTGAAGACAAGGTTGTTATCTCGACTTCTACGTACATTCCGCCGCATACGATTATTTCTCCAGTTCAAACGGAGTTTCTACCGCCGCCGGTAAGAGAGAAACCCTTGGATCCTCCGCCATTTCGTCACCGGAAAATTATCAGGAATTCTAAAGGTACTTATTAATTTAATTGAACTCATAACCTGCTACTAGATTTTCAGTTTGACTGTAAATAAAAGAGAAATTTTATATTTTATAGAGAGATTTCCGGCGATTCCAACCTCCACGTGTACATTTCTCAGATATTCGGAGCACACAAAAGTTTTACGCTGTCGTTTTTACTAAAAAATTTTTTTAAAAATTATTACACTTAAAATTTGGACGTCATCCTCATATTGCTTCTAATTTACGCCGAATCCACAATCATTTGACGCTAGGGCCGTTTGAGCCCAATTATTTGTAGATTATAATGAAATGAATAATGTTTTTTTTTTTTTTCAAAAATGAAGGGATGAAAATTTTTTGATTTATATGTAATATTATTTTATTGAACATTGTATGGTTAAAAATAAGAGAGAGAAAAATTTAATTTAATGTATTGAGAAATAATGGGGTTCAAACGAGGGCTAAATATGTTTATGGCTAAATCATTATTTTTTATATGCGTATTCATTGATTTTTCAATTTATTTATTCCATATTGTGAAATTCTGAAAATAAATATGATTTTCTGAAAGGGTAAAATGGTCAATTTAATTTTTCAGGTGCAAGGATACCGAGAGTGACAAGGTCAAAAAGGCACGAGACATTAGAACGTACGTGGAATATGATTACAGAAGGGCATCAAATACCACCCACAAAGCACCTTAAGAAGTCAGATACGTGGCAACGCCATGAACATCATGAGATCACAAGTCCACCAGATGATGTACCAAAATCGAATACTTTCAAGACTCATACGAGCTACAAGTCCCCAATAGAATCTCCATTGAGATTGGCTTCGAGTACGGAGATTTCAAGAGAGCTGTCGCCAAGTCAAGATGAGTTGAACCGTAAAGTCGAGGCATTCATCGAGAAATTTAACGAGGAAATGAGGTTGCAGAGACAAGAATCACTAGATCAATATATGGAGATGGTTAATCGTGGAGTCTAGATTATACAGGTTTAAATAGTGGTTTATTCGTAAATAATAAAAATTTCTACATAAAAAACTGTAAAGAAAAAAGAGAGAGAGAGGACTCCAAGAACTTTATAAATTTGTAATTAGAATATGCTACTTGTACATAATAAGGTATTTACACTTTAATATAGAAGGGGGTCCACTTTGAATAAATTATATTTTATTTGAAGTGGATTTCTTTCATGTAAAGGAGGTAGACACTGCTATAAATACTCTGATGTACGCATAACATAATCCTTTGAAATTTAGGTATAGTTTTTGGGAAGCCTTCTTTTATTTTGTATTAACAAATCCATATATAACAATTAACTAGAAAATATATGCGAAATATCTGAAAAGGAACATGTATTATGGTGTTCCTTTATCATTGTAAATATAAACTACTTGGTATACAAGTTTCTCTCTCTCTCTCTCCCCCTCCACCCCACCCCTCCCCTCCCCACATTAATCATTGTTATGGATTTATGCCTTCTCTTTCATGGTCTACACTTAATATAGTGTTATCTGTTTTGGGGTCTTAATCATTCCATTAAGACAGTCTTAATTAACTGATTAGCTATAAGAAAATGTTTAATGCTTGTGAAAGAGGAAGATATTTCGGACTAACCTACTTGGAGTGTAAAGGGATTAGGCATACATATCGGACTAACCGACTTGGAGTGTTTACAAGAAATTTTATAAACACAAAATACTTTCTATTTTTAGAAAATCAATGCTTAAAAAGAAGTATCTCTCTCTATTTTAACCTTTTAAAATAAAGGTTGTGTTTGACTTTTCAAATTTGAAGAGCCCTCTCACTATCTATTCTTAATTACTAATGATTATATTTAATAAATTACAAATTTCAATACTCTAAACTTAAATTAAAATAATAATCTTGCTATATATACATTCTAGTTTGACATTTGCTTTACATTGTACTATGTGGCATGCAATTTTCCTTTTCTCTCTCCAAAACTTAAAATAATCAATGACCTCAATTTTGTCATGTATTCAAATGTCATCTAAGTTGTGTATAGGTAATGTACAAGTAGCATAATTCTTAAAATAATCACATTTTTTAATTGATTTGTTATTAACATATAAAAAATTATGCTAAATAAAAGATGAGGCGAAATCAAAGAATGTTGATCCGAAAAAAATAGAATAAAGGGTATTGTTGGGTTGCATAAAAAAATTTACTTTCTAAATTTAAATGTCTCTTAATTATGTACATGATGCTCTTTACAAATGGAAAGTCCCTTGAAGATGTTCTTAAATGCTTACACAATAATTGAGGCCATGAGTTTCTAAAATGTTTTCCTCGTTCTTCCATATTCTTGACGACTGTTATAATATCAAGATAAATAGTAAGAACCATATTTAAGTAGTATAAAACATATGATCCGCAGTTATCTCTCTGAGCATCCTCTGCATCAGAAAATAGGATAAAATATCGAGTATTACACAAGCTTACCATACATCCACCCTATTGGTAACAGAGCCATGTTGTTATCTTGATCTTACTATCTTTGATTGGGATTATCCAGTCTGAAAGAAACTAGTAAGAACACCTTTTTAATCATATGGATATCACACCCAACGCAACCCCCTATATCTGCCAATGGCCATGACAAGCCAGATTAAAGGGTTGGTAAATCATGAAGAAGATAATGTTACATGACAAACATAGACACCCAAATGGGCTTTACAGGAAAATGAAGAGAGAAGGCAAGGGACAATCAAACTTCAATACTTACACAACAACCCGCTTCACTTATTTCTACTTCTCATTTTATAACTCATTTCTAACTCAATTGTTGAAGGATCAACATCGGAAATCCTCGCTATGTGCTATCTGACACTTGGTTTTGTCCACAAAATGTAATATTCTCTTGTTGTGGGAGACAACCTGGAAAAAACCTCAACATTGGGAGTTCTCAAATCTATATAATGTAGACTTGAAACCTGAAAATATTTATTCTTTGTAGACATGAACTAACAAATTTGGTGGTCTAGCTTCTGGTTGTCCAAAGCATCGTCTTGCTTGTATATAAAGGTTGTTGTCGCATTGTTAGGTAGACTAGTGGCAGATTGTGCGTTGCACGATGACTATTATAATTTTTTAAGAAATTTCATTGTAACGACTATATTTTAGAATATGTAAACTTTTAGTTATATAGTGCCAATAATGTGAACAACTGGGTTTGTCATATGGGCCACAGCTCTAATATCGCTCCACATCTCCTTTTGCAAATGCTAACAATATCCTGTTATAATTAACTAAATGAAAATAGATCCCAGTAACTCTTGAGCCCAGCAAGTAACAATAATCCAATTTGTAAAATATGAAAGGCATACATCTTTATGTAAGAACTTGATGTGCTAGCATTTGCAAAACCTCAGCCTAGTCTCCCTCATTTCAAACTGAAAAATCAAATAGCGAAGGCATCAATGGAACAAATCTACAGTTTATATGTTTTATAAATTAATTAAACAATGAAATCGGTAGAGCTTTTAATTTTAAAATATCAGGCATTTATGCAATATATGACAAATTTTGATTATAAGTAACTATAGGCCTATGATAACTCATAACCTTATAACTTCAACTTCCAATCAGCCACAAAATTGTAAAGAAAGCTGGTTTTTGTTGAATCAAGGGAACATATCTATAGTTTACATATTACAAATTTGTAAAATAATGCAAAACACTCGGCAAAGCATCTAAATTCTCTAAAATATCGGCCAGAATATGTAACATATGATAGTCAAGTAGTTGTCTAGTAAGTAAATTTCAATCTAATGACCAATTGAGATAATACATATTTTAGCTTCCAAGCCAGCAAAGCATTTGAAAGGAGAGAAAAAAATGTCAAACTTCAATTGTTACACCAAATTCTAACAAGAAAACTGGTTCTTACTGATAGCCACTTTTTTCAAGATAAGATAGATAATTTATGTTCTTTGCAACAATCGCTGCCTTAAGAAAATTTTGAGCATTAACAGATGTGCAAATGAGAAAATATTAAACCAACTTCTAAGATTTCAAAGTTGTACCTTGGCATAAATTGGATACATATAAAATAATTTCAAGCCTTCTCAGTCTATTATACTTGTTCTATATCTATTCCATATTGTTCATTTGCATATAGAAACCTTTTATCAACCATCATTTTCAATCTTTTCTACACATCAGTTGGTTGAAGTGAAGAAGAGAGTTGTTGTTTCATTATATTACATCCTTCCCATCCATCTTTATACCAACAACTAGTCGTTGACACGTGCGTTGCACGAATTTTGTATTTATTGTGTTTTTATTAGTTTAGAAATTGTAGATGTTAAAAAAAAAAAAATTGTTGAACATTTATTGCATTGTTCAAAAGTCTTGAGAGCATATTATTGCTTCGCTAATGCTCTATCCAACAAGGTGATCATTTCAAAAGCTAATATTACTGCACAAAGAAAATCACAAAAAAAAAAAAAATTAAAGATATCGTGTGTATGTAGAATAGGACACTACATGATAATAGAAACATTTGAGATACATAAAGATTGCAAGTTTACAGGAGTAAGAAATATTTGATCCATTAAATAATAAAGCATGCATCGAAAAATGAAAATGGGTTGCAAATAAGTTGTAAAAGGATACAATGCAGTATTTACAAAAAAAACAAAAAAACAAAAAACAAAAAAAAATAAAAAAAAAAATCACACACACCAATGAGCAAGTATGCTGAGATAAATTGATAATTCTTGCACTATCATTTTTGCTTCTTCTCTTGGTTGTTTATATATATCGGGATCTGAATATACAATAATTATTAGAACAATCGCATTAAATCAAATCAGTTATTAGAACAAAAGATTAAGAGATGAAATATAAGTAAAGCACCTACCTAACCCTCCAAAAACTGTAAAACATATCCAAATACTTCTTTCTAGTTGACAAAAAACATATCCAAAAATAAAGTATCCTCCTGTATTTTGTACCATAATCCAAAAAAACCTATCAAAAAAAAACTATCAACTCCCAATTCTTAGGAACTGGACAAATGCCACTGAAGAATGAAACAAATTAAACGTTAACAAATGGACAAATCTAATTCTCTGGAAGTGAATGAACCAAACAACTAAATGTTTGATCATTTAATGGTTCCAGCACAATCTATGTGAGGTTCATCTAAAAGTTCCAGCCATATAAAGAGAGAACTTACAAACATCTGTATTGAAAAAACAAAACTTTGCAAATGAATTTCGAATCACTCTTCCATTATGGCTGCACTACAAACTCTTCATCGATGTTAGGTCTCCTGCTCCTTGGCAAAATGAAGATTCAAGATTGAATTTTTAACAACAAATGAAATTCTAAGTAGAGGTAAGATTTCTTCCTTTACCAATCTAATATTTATAGAAACTACAGTGCATTTATGCTTTCCCTCTCATCTAGCAACTGAAAAAGCATAAACAAATAAAAGTAATTTATACATAAGTTAAGCTCTAAGAATTACAGTTTCACAAAAAAGAATTAAAGAATGGAAAGACGACACTAAAGCACCATCTCTTCTGCATGTTTGGATTATATTTGATTCCGGAACATTAGCATTGCCATGAACTTCCTTGTACAATTAAAAG